CTTGATTTAGGCGTAATAAACAACCACATACTTGCACCGCAAGTCAACATCCTTTGGCAAGATTAGAGTATGGACTAGCTCCTTTACTTTGGAACGGGGCATATTAGTGTATGGAATGGAAAAATCAAATGATTTAAGATAGCGATGTTCACCAAGAGCGGATATATTCATGATTGGTCCATGTTTCATATTTAAAAAAGTCTGTAATCATAATTTCAAAAATTCTTGGAATGGATTTTATTGATTGTAGAACTGAAGCATGATTGGCTAGAATTTCAACTGCGGAAAGATTAGTTAATATGGGTGTAGGGCTTCCAAGTTTATTAATCAAACATATTTCCTTATTAAACAGAAAATGTGATACTGTTTATAGGAAAGGAAATTTCATTTCATGTCTTATTTGTGGACAAAAATATATATGTCGTATACCAATCATTGCTTTTTAATGCCACATCATCGACACTTTTACGGAGTCTCCACGCTTGTTCGTAAAGGTCACCAGGGCCAATTTTAGAATCCAATTCGGACACTTTTCTCGATAATATCATCATTGCTATTTGACAAAAATATGCAATTTCGAAAACATGTAAACAATGAAGTGTTAACAGGGGAAAAAAAATCATCAAAAATGGTCTGTCCCCCTTTAATCAATTTTCCGGTTTACGCGCTTATTACACCTCTCACATCCCAAGCCCTCGCCGTCGCCTTTCATGTCGGGAGTAAGTAATCAACAACCAGTGGAGACTTTTGGTATAAACAGTGGCCTTTCCAGCTGTAAATGAGATACAAACAACCACCTGAATTCAAACCTTACAAAATTTTACTTTTGCTAGTAAAAGTGATAGTACATTCCCTAAATGTGTGCCATTGTACACTTTTGTATAGTTAAGTGATAATTGCACCATACAAAAGTGTACCTTGGTGCACTTTTGAACATAAAAGTAATGAAAATTGCCCGCTTGTTGTCAGCCATCGTACAAAAAGGTAAAAAGATAATAATCTCTGAGATAAAAACACTTGCAGGTCCTTATGGTGCCTGACGTGGTCACTCTTTGAATCTTTTATCAGAGGTGCAAATGGTGCTCTATAAAGAGACGAAGGTATTTATTGACTTTGTTGTTATTGACGTAATGTATTCATGGCTATGACATACAGCTGTATTTTGTATTATAATTGCGCCTGGTGTTATTCTCCTGGCACTCTTTCTATAGTCTTCTTGTTAATATTTCTTTTTTTCTTTTTTGCCAAGTTTGATCGAATTTGAGTTTGGATTATGATAATATTCACATGTCGGTATTTCTTTGTTGTTTTGGTATAGTTTGTTGCCAACCAGTGGTGGGCGTATATTGGCCCATAAATGGCTACGTTAAGTTTTCGAGACAGGTAAATCAATATTAAAAATGACAACTAAAGATTTATGTTAATATTCAGGTATACGATGTAGGTTGTTTACTATTAGAGGCAAAACGCCTAATTACATGTTTATTTCAATATACATTTTTCATAACTTTGTGTTACAAAATGATACATATCTAGAACCATGATGCTTGCTATTCAGTGCATTTGTACATTTATATCTCAGAGGAACGACAATTGAGGCTCGATGTTGATTGATCTTTCGTCCGTTTATAAAAATGCTCAATACTTGTATTGAGCTTCCCATGCATGGTTAACGTTAAAGGAAAAGTACGTGCTGTGAATAACTCTTTTAATTTACCATGGCGTTTGAACGTACTTACAAAATCGCTCATGCTTGTTAACTATGGATAATGATAATATGCTCTCTTTTATGTGTATATATACAGTCAGTTTCCTTTGTTATACCTTGCTCCGTTGAAATCAACTCCCATGAATTAACATTTTGTGTACGTGATCTTCTTGTTATAATGTCCTGTAATCTTTTGTTTTATGTTAATCTTTACAGTTTACGTATTACCGTCACTGTGGATAACTTGCAGGGATTCAGTTAAATGGTTTTAAGCTTTTCGTAGAAATGGTACAATAGTACCATTACCGAGAGAGAACCCACAAGGAACTTAAAGCTTTTCATTGCAATAGTATAATAATCAACAAGAAAATACCGACATATTAACATAATCACAATCCAAATTTGATAGAACTAGGGCAAAGTAAGAACAAAAGAAAGATTTACACGGAGAATCCTGAAAACAGATAAGGAAATGTAGACTAGGTGTTACGGATGTGTAAGCGTCTTTTGCTAAATCGACGACAACTTCCATGTAAAATGTGGTCAATGCTTTCGATTAATGTTACATTCTCAAATGAGAACAAGGCAGTCAGCAACGGAATCAAAGGGCAATCAACGAGCATCAATCACGTCAAGCTGCATATCGTACAAAGAAACATAATATTTCATCTCAATGCGATCACTTTGACGAGCGTAAAACTGCCCATAATTTTCGCCAATCGGCATTTTTTGAAACCCTGTGTTACGAGTTTGTCCGTCAGTTCACGACTTCTTCCACGAAAATTGTGATAACAGGATCAGGCTCTAGAATATTGAATAAAGTGCACCATAACACCATATGTTGTGATTGCCGGGATATTGCTATTCAGAAACGGAAAATTAACAATAGAAGAATTGACATCATCAAGCTTATCATACAGCCAATGGTCTGTTCAAATATCTTACCGCCAAGTTACCAGAAGCTCGGGCATTTTTATGATTTCGCCCTCTTTATATTTCTTCTTTGATTTAGACGCATATAAGTACCGCTGTTCACCTTGGTAACGAAAACTCTCAAGAGAAACAAGATCTTTCACGTTTTAAAATATTGTATGGTTGAGTGTGAAAAATAAAATGTCTGTAGATGTAAATTTTTTTGGAAGAAGGTGTTGAATATTGGTTAAAAGCTCTTTAAAATCACATAAAATTAAGTCCACTTCTTGAGTAAACAGTTCGACTGTAACTCATATTTGATAGTGCTAAGAATATTGATTAGAAACATTGACAAAGGTTTGGTTGAACAACTAGAAGTATTAGCACCCTAATCGAGATAACCTGGCGTTATTTTGCTTTTAAGCTATTCAATTGTTATAGAAACAGTAATTATTATTTGCACTGAGTAATACATTAAATTGTCGCATGATATATTCTCTCTCATAATGTTTGTGCATGGTATTAAAATTCCATCTAAAGGTATAGAAATGAAGCACAATATGAGAAGATATGGTGTCATGTTTCGAAGGTATGATATTCAAGCCTGTTGCCACTGTCGTCAATGGCTACTTCAATTGAGATGACCTTGGATGTTTCAAGAACATAAAATGTAATACAAGCAGATTAGTGGCTACTTCATCATATTTTAACCAATATAAACTGAATAAAAGTATGAATAATTCATCTTTATACCTGAATTCCTGCATAGATTTGGTGTAAAGTGTTACGTATAAATTACCTACTCTACTTCCTCCTAATCTTCTAACCTTTGTACCTTTTCTGTATTATGAAAGCATCATGTAAACTTTGGTCAGTGTGATTGTTATAAGATACAAAATTGAACTTTTGTTTTCCATTTAGGCGAGAATTGGTTTTGTTCCAAAATTGTGCAACCTAATAGAAAAAAGAATCTTAAAAAATCGTCTCCTCTATAACAGATACTGACAGATCCAACATGGCAGACTTAGCGACAATGGACTACGTCGTCTTTATATCAACGCTGCTTGTCTCCCTGGGAATAGGTTTGTACCACGCATGTTGTGGACCGAAACAGAACAACATACAACAGTATGTTTTAGGTAACAGGAAGCTGAAGGTATTTCCAGTGGCTTTGTCCCTCACAGTGTCCTTCCAGTCATCCATTACGATGTTGGGGAACCCCACGGAAATCTACATCTATGGCATTCCGTACATGTGGCAAGCGATTGGATTAGCAGCGTCAAATCTCTTTAGCCTGGTGTCTATTATACCATTGCTTCATCCACTAAAGATCACAAGTTTTTATGAGGCACGTGGTATGATTTGTCATTTTAGGATACAAAATGTAGATGGTGTACTAATCAGTTTAATTAATTAAGTATTAGATATAAACAAACATTGTTAAAACTTGATGATACTTTACTTTGCTATCATACGTATTGTTATACTTGTTTTGAAGGAGAATAATCACCTATAGAATAAGATTTAGTATTCTATACAGTAACCATACAATGATAAATCATGTGCAACACTATTAGTATATATCATACTGTCAGCGATAACATCCGCCGACGTCATGCACGAACATGACCTTCATACTGAGGACAAAACGTCCTGTATCTCTTCACAAATTATTATTATTTGTATTTTATGCATTCACAGTATTTTCAAAGAAGATTTAAAAGCAGAACAACCAGAATCTTAGCTACTGTCATGGGGATTCTTTATAACGTATGTATTGATGTTATCGATTCTAATATTACCAAATTACTATGGTTTTCTTTATGAAAAGTATTAAACACAAGATTCTAAGTTCATTTTCATTTCGTATTAGATATAATGAAACGAGTTTTAGAATCTTTTATAACTTCGAGACGAATTCCATAAAGTCGCAGATGAAATAAAAACAAATGTAAGATATTTTTTTATTGCATAAGCCAACAGTTGTATAATTACTTATACAACTATTTCTCACATGATCACTGTAGTAGTGATAAAAGCTTTATCAAATTAATGATTTCTTGCTCGACATATTTAAAAATGGAATAAGGCCATTATTATATCATAAGTGTTGTAATTTCGGAACATTATGAAAATCATGAATATATACTAAATATTGTTAATGTAAATAAATATACAACAACCTATTACAAAGCAAACATTTAAGATTTAATGAATACCAGGTTCCAAAGAAACCTATTAATAAAAACACAACAAGTCACCCTCATGTAGCTAGCAAAGTTACTATTCCTTAAAGGGGAGTTTTCTCAAAAAATGCCTTCTTCTATCCTGATGGAAAATACATTGATTCCAATATTTTCATATGAAGACGTTTTACATGGGGATAGCGTTGTTTGGACCAGGAATCGCCATAGAAACAGGTAAGTGATTACAGAAATCTCTTGCTGTGCCTTAACCGACATTTAACACTACTACTTGTACACAATAAAGGGCATAAATGTTTAAAAGGTGACTGACGAAAATACGTATCTCACTTCAATATAAACATTTGTTGATATTTCTCTAACACTATCCTTTATGCTGAATATCTTTATATGTTGTTTTGTATTAGAAATTAATACTGTCAGCTGATGACTAATGGTCTTAAAAAGACCAAACTTTTTACAAGTGCGCATGCGCTAAATAGTCTACGTACGATAAAATAAGTGTATCTTTAGTAGGAAATCTTATGAAAACTGAAGCCAGATTATATTAACGAAGACCGCCATATTCTTTAAAGGTTCGAATGTTGTGAAGAATCTTTTAACACAGAGTGTTTCTCTATTTCTAGTGACAAACTTCCCTATGTGGGCATCTGTTTTGGTCGTTGCCTTCTCTGCGATTATATACACCGCAATGGTACGTCTAAGTTCATTCTGATATCCGTTTTGATGATATTGATAATCGCTTGGTTGAAAAGGATTTGTTTTACTAGTTAAGAAATGTTTATTTCCTATTCATGCCCTAAGTGCTACCGTTATTTTTCAAAATTCTTATTTTAATTTTGATCTCACTTAAATAAATGCAAAGATGAAAAAACATATTTTGCACATCTTGTTATGTTTTTATCGTAATATGGCTACTAAGATTTTGTTTTGACAGGGTGGACTTCGAGCGGTGGTATGGACAGATGTTTTTCAATTCGCTGTCATGTTCGTTGGCTTTTTCAGTATTATCATAAAGGTATTGCACCACTCTATACAACATGCTATATCGTTTTGCTGTTTTGTTACACATTATACTATAATGAGATAAGCTGTTAGTTCATATGTCATTCAAAAAATATATATGATTATCGTCATCTTCCTAAAATACCATAAGGTACTAATTGCATATATACATGTAAATCCAAATCCACTGTAGGTTCGGGTAACGGAATTATTCTATGTTATTAAAATATGAATGCGACTACACATATCCTGTTCAGAAAATGTTTTCATACCCAGACAACCCTTGACGTCGGTGGACTCAAAACAATATTCGAAAATGCCAATGCTGGGATGCGTCTTCAAATGCCCAGGTAACATAAGTATATCATGTAAACAATCAATTGATGTAAACCAAGTCGGGGTTACATAACGGAAATTTTGAGAATATGAAGAATCTGTGAGGGTGCAAAAGTTTTTCTTTTATACGTTATTAAATGTGTTCTTTTCGATGCGGTAAATCGTATGTAGAATTAGAAAAAAAATGCGTTTTACTCTTTGCTTTCAGCTTCGATCCGGATCCGACTATCCGTAACACTTTTTGGTCATTAGTTGTCGGATCCTCTATATCCCTGACCTACGTGCTTACCACCCAAACAACTGTCCAGAGGATCTGTTCAATCCCTACCAAACGGGATGCGTGCAAGTATGCAAATCCAAACACAAGTATTGAAGCGTGCTTAAACGACAAACACTTACATGTAAACTTAGTATCGTCACAACACAAAGGCGTTTAGCTGATATGATGAAGTCTTTCATCTCTATTCCACCGTTCAATCATACAAACTTAAGTCGAGATGTACTGACGCTTGGTAACGACTTAGTATATAGTCTAATGTCTAAGTCTTTCGACTCTATTATACCGTTCCATGTCCTATCAAGTCTAAATAGTAAACTTAAAGAAACTGTCAAAATATTCCAATATATTGTTATCCATTTGGGTCGATACTTTTTTTCACGAGTGCGAAACATATTCTACGTTGATTCCGTTTATAGTTATATACGGAAATGTAGTAATTATCCTAATCATTGATTGCAGATTGACCATGGTCAATAAATCACTGTTCCTTACATTTCAAATTGTATATAGATGATATGTTATGATGAAATGATAATATTTATATTTTCTGCAAATATCGTGACATGCTCGGGCAATTATGAGTGAAATATAAAAATTATTCATTCTTTACATGCCGAATTTATCCTACTGTTTGATATATAAAATTATCTCCTTAAAATAATTTCTTTGAGGTTGATGATTATTTCTACTATATCGACCGTTCTGAATTTCCTCCTGTCCTGTTTTCTTGGAATATGTGCTTATGCTTATTTCTACAAGAAACGATGTGATCCATTGGCATCCAAAGAGATTGAAAATCCAAACCAGGTAGGTTTATTGATTTATTGGTTTTAAAATGATAAAAAGTTAGATCGAATAAGTTATTATTGATGGTTAATAATCTAATCATTGCTGATTAAAAAAATGAAAGTAGTTATCTCTGTAATTAAAACTGTCCAAATGATCTGTCATAAGTTGAACATTCTTTAAAATGCAACTACAATCTGAAACAATGTTAGGCGATCAATAATATGAGACATCGAAATAACGGGAACAAAATTATTTTCTGTTAAATACTTTCCAGCTTCTTCCTTATTTGGTGGTGGTCCTGTTCCGTGATCTGCCCGGTATGGCCGGAGTGTTTATAGCAGCTTTGTTTAGTGCGTCACTAAGGTAGAGGAAAAGAATGTTAATCAGTTTTATATAACGAGCTTGTTTTTTAATCTAAGATATCTTCATATTCCATTTCTCCAATCAACTGAACATGGACATAATGTGAAAACTGGTTATTCTTGAGTAGTATTAATAGCAGTAAAAAAATCATACAATATCTTAGTTGTACAGCAAAATTTGTCTGTAATCACACAATCGGCCTTTTATCATTTAAATTCACCTATACTTACTAAACAAAAAAAGAAAGGTAACACTACTTTATTCTGTGATTAATTAATTAACCCCTTCATAAATCCTTACCAATCATGTACGAATAAAGTAATTGATCAATTCTGATAAAACTGCAGTCATGGTTCATCATAAAACTGCGTTCAGTTGATTTTATTCGACTGTAAAGGACGTTGGGGTCAATTTCAAAGGTAACACCATTAGTAACTGGTATGGCCACCGTTTGCGAAGTAAACAGCATTGCAGCGTCGTCGCATGGAACTCGTAAACCGGCGGATAATTAAAAGAGAGATGTTGTTCCATTCAGCGATCAAGGCTTGGGCCAGCTCCTGCAAGTTTGACGGCTGATTTTGACGTTCTCTCCCCCCCCCCCCCCCCCCCCCTCTCATCTGAAAACAGAACATTGTTCCATTGTCGTAAGGCCCAATGACGTTGAACACGGGTCCAGTTACGCCGATTATTACGGTGACGTCGCAACAAATTGGGTCCAGTGTAGGGACGCCGCGCTTTCAATTGGTAGGCCCTCAACCTGTTGCGGACTGTTTGGGGAGACACACGACGCCCAAACAATGTCCTTGTAGTCTCTACTGCGGTTACGAATCGATTGCGCAAGTGTATCAATCGTATACGACGGTCATCCCTGGCGGTCGTTTTACGGGGTCGGCCGCTTCGGGGACGATCGGATGTTGACCCAGTTTGGTTTAAACGACTTACCAACTGACAAATTGTGTTACCACTGCAACCCAGTCTGGTTTAAACGACTTACCAACTGACAAATTGTGTTACCACTGCAACCAAAATGCCGTGCAACTCGACGGTGAGACTCCCCAGTCTGGATCATGCCTACAGCCCTTTCTTTCTGTACTTGTGACAGCCGGGGCATAATGATAAAGTTGATAGATAGCAAGATTCGGTGATTTCTAAGTCCTAAGGATCTAAAGAACAGTTGTCAGTTTGAATGTTTATGAAATTCAAGCGAAGATACAAGTCAGTCCCAGAAAACCTTGTGCAGCTCTTTCGCTAATACAGACTTACACGCTTGAATGATTCTGGTAACCCCCTTGGGTTTTGTAATGTAAAACATTACCATTTTCTAATATTGCACAACCTCATTTTGTTTTCACTCATTTACAGGTATTCGCCAAGGAAACATGTTAACCTTTCTTTTTTTGTTGAGCATATAATAATATGATAAGTGAATGAAGTGTTTGTGCATCTATAATTAGCATTGCCACAGCCATGTCGGGTTCTCCCATACCTGAGGACTAATGCTGGAGGAAAGAAAGAGTCATTTTTAATTAGGATTTACGATGTTCAGCTGTGGATTACCTACCTAATTGATACACTTCATACCACCCTCCATTTTAAAATCATATCAGTATGTAATGTTATGTTACCTTATGTAGTGAAACTGTTTTCGACTCAAATTTTATAAGGAAATAAATAGAATTAAAATTGAAAATAACGTCACATTTAACTGTTGACTGTATTTAGGTCAATTAAGTAACGTTCACTTATAACTACCATTAAGTTGATGGTGTTTACATTGGTCTGTCTCGGTAATTTTTTTTTTTTTTTTTTTTACATTTTATATTCTAATGTCAAGACAGAATTATTTGTGTGCCAAATTTGATTGCTTTAACAGCTATATGATACAGGCCATTTTAACAGTTGGTTGTGCTCTAGTTAGGTGTCTTTAAGACGATCCTTTAACAGATGAAACAAAGATTCCTCAATATCGTATTACTATTCTCCTTCTTGATTTTGAAAAGAACTATCGTCAGATATATGTCGTATGTCTGCATGACCTCCCGAGTTTTCGGATTAAAATTGTTTTATCTATTTCAGTACAATTTCATCATTACTCAGTAGTCTGTCTGCACAAACTATAGAGGACATCGTAAAACCTCTGGTGAAGGACATTTCCGAGGCAAGAGCTACCGCCATTGCTAAAATATCCGGTATTGTTGTATTAATCACATCGTAGCTCTCCATTATGTGTAATATATTCTTAAAAAATGATTATGTATACATTTATGTGTCATCAGCAAAAAGAAAAGCTATCGAAATCGAAAAAGTTCTTAACCATACCGAATTTTTAAATGACTATATATTTGATACGTTCGAATGATATGTTTTAACAATACATTTATTTTACAGTCTTTGTCTACGGATTGATAGGGATAGCGATATCTTTTATGATTGCAAATATCGAAGGACCACTAGGCCAGGTAATATTGCTCATATATACTGAAGAGTTACATATATTACAATGATTACACATTATATTGACCCATACAGATATTATAATGATCACAATAATATGGACACGTTCAGATATTACAATGATTAAAACAATATGGACACATACAACAATAACAAGGAGTAAAACTCTATTAACACATAGAGATATTACAATGATCACAATATTGACACATACAACAATAACAAGGAGTGAAACTCTATTAACACATAGAGATATTACAATGATCACAATATTGACACACACAACAATAACAAGGAGTAAAACTCTATTAACACATAGAGATATTACAATGATCACAATATTGACACACACAACAATAACAAGGAGTGAAACTCTATTAACACATAGAGATATTACAATGATCACAATATTGACACACACAACAATAACAAGGAGTAAAACTCTATTAACACATAGAGATATTACAATTGTTTTGATACCCACGGATATTACAATGATAACAACTTTATTGACATATTGAAGTATTACAATTGCCATAATCATATTGACACATACAGATATTTCAAAGATCAAAACTATCTTGACACATACAGATATTACAATTACACATATTTGGATGATCAACACTATGTTCTCTGCATCATTATTGCTTTTATGGGTATTTGGACAAATATAGGTATTGATCATATGATTGACATGTGATTGGGTAGATATACCGTTATGTTATGTTATGTTATGTTATGTCATGAAAAAAATTTAGATCATGAAATGTGGACGTCACCTCTCAGATTATATTATGACGTCATGACTGTGACTTCACAAAGAGGAAAGACCACTTTTAAGAATAACATTGGGAATTCCTTTTCTGCAATATTAAAGAAATTGATTAGACTAGGAATTTGTTTATTTCCCTCACATGTAAGGTGTGTTTTTATCAGCTTGTGTAAAACACACTGATCTCAAAAGCCAACGTGAGAACACAAAATCCATCACGAAACATTGCAAAGAAACATTTTCTAGTGTATAAGTACACTTTATCACGTTACTGAATAATTTTGTCATGCCTTATGGTAATAAGGAGATAAAGCGTAAGGCACACGTATAATATCTCTATTATGACGTCATAAATAAGCTAGGCTTGATGACGTCAAATGACGGCAGAGTCGAAATAAGCATATTTTATGAAGAAGATTAATTAGAGTATTCGTTTATTTTTGTTTCTGTCTTAAAATGTTTTCACAGATTACCTTCAGTATGCTGTCGAGTTTCGGTGGAGCTGCCGCCGGAATGTTCTTTTTTGCTGCATTTTGTCCATGGGCTAACTCAAAAGTATGTAATGTCCTGTTTTCATCCTAAAAAAATCAATTTGTGGAGTAAGAAAGGGAGAACATACAAAGACTCCAACTTAAGAAGCCTTCATGCACTAGGAAGAGCAGAAACTAGACAGAACAAGAGTTTGAAAACGATCAATGAAGTAGGAGACGCTTGCCATTCTGGAACACCTTCAGATAAGAGTTTTAGTTTTTCACGTGTCTTCACGTAAATCTCTTTTTTTCTGACATTCAGCCAAAGTCTTCGTATCTGATATTATAGATTATTCTTAGGAAGATGAAGCAGCTTTATAATACAGTTTATTTGATATCATTTTACTACAATGTAACTTTTATTAAGATCGCAATGCAAGGTGTTATTATTTTATATGTCTGTTGTACAACTTAAGAAATTGTACCAAAACAACAAAAAGAATGCTGACATCTTATCGGATTATTAATCAAACACCAATTTGATTAAACTGTTGGGCAGAAAGAAAATAAATAAAAAATAAAAGGACGGAGACTCTTGAAAAAGTAATAGGAGAATAAGATCAGGGGTTTCGGAAGAGTAAGCGTTTTCTGTTTTATCGATGACCATCCCCCTTCACGTAAATCAATCCTAGTAAGTAGTGTCATGTTCCAAACGATAACAAGGCAATTCCAGGTATATTAACGAGCATCAAATGCCACCACCTTCATATCGCACAAAGAAATAGAATATTTCTCAATGAAGTTACTATGACGACCGTAAAACGTCCCCTTAGTCTTCATCAACCTGCATTACTCCATGTGTGTGAGTTTGTCTATCGGTTGCCAACATAATTACGGAAATCTTGATACTGGGAACAAGTCTTTGAATGTCGAATTAACAACGAAAGGTAAACACCATAGGTTGGGAACTCCAAAGGCTGGAGAAAAGGTAATACTGCTATCATAAATGGAAAATTCACTGTAAGGCCATCTTGTGCCTAAGAATTTCTGCCTCTGTTGTCATTCTCATTGAGTAAATAAGACATTTAAAATAGTTGTTAACTTTATTGTCATTCTTTTTCAAATTGTGCTTATAATTAGAAATTTACATTTTTGTAACATATTTTTATCGGACGGACGCTGTATATAAATTCTTTCAGGGAACAGTTGTTGGTGGAATTACAGGGATGGCTTTAGTACTTTGGATTGCTTTAGGTCAAAGCTTCTCTACAACTTTGGTGAAATCAACGACCTTACCGTCAGCTCCTGTCGACATGTGCCGAAATAATATATCTTTAAACACTTCATATGTGACATCATTAGCACTTGTGCACAACATTACCAGTTACAGAACAACTCCGTCCTCGATAGAACCCACAGTGAAGTTAGTTTAATACCTGGTAGTTGTCTAGATAAAATAATGCATAAAGAATAATAAAACGTTAGTTGAATTAAGTATTATTTGATGTATAAACTAAACATCGTGACCTGTATTTATAAAAGGCTAGAATATTCGTCAATTTTCAAAATTCAGTTTTTTTATTAAGCACATCACGATAAAACAAGAAGAAGGGACTATTTGATGTCTAGAAAACACGCGTATTGTTCATAATTTAAGTTTCATTACGATGATTGTCATTTCACCCTATACTAGTATATATATTTAACCATATAAAACAACCCATGACAAATAATCCTGTTGACTGGAATTAGGACATACTTTTGCATAGAAAAAAATTAAACTTAATATCACAAACTTTTGCATTTTGATATACATTGTTAAAAATAAATCGTATTGTTTATATGTATAAACATTTGTAAATTTAAAAGAAATTAGATTACACACTTAAGTGTCAAGCACGAGCGCTGTCATTAAATCGAAACAATGTGTAAAAATAATTCATTTGTATGTATATTTCAATTTTAGTCGTGGACTGGACATTCTTTATTCCATTTCGTATTTCTGGCTGTCACCTTTGAGTATAATGACGACCATCCTCGTGGGGACCATCGTGTCTTTTATGACAGGTATAGTTTATTTATTCACTTGAGAGTCTTTTGTAAAATAAAGTTGTTAAACTATCGATGACTGAAATTTTCCTGAAAATCCTGACTCCATGTATTATGATTTCTAGTTCGACAATGCTGGTTTATGTACATCAGGAGAATAAGGGCACAGAGTAATCACTTAGCTTTCTGTTGTTAATTGTCTTATTATGTGTAAAATGAATAACATAAAGCGGTTAGGGACAAGCGATTACAAGGACGTAACTATCCCACGAAGACGTTAAAATACGGCATATATTTTATATTGTAAACTTTTGTAGGTAGGCTGATCCAATCACAGGTACATGCAGAAAACACAATAATTGTTTGGTATATTTTATCAATCTTTACTTTTGCAGGTACACCTGCCTTATCGGAAACACATACAGACATATTCTACACAATTTGTGTTGTTATCCGATGTTAGGTAGACCCGTCGTTACATACTAAGTATGGTCACCCGATGTTAGGTAGACCTGTCGTTACACACTTTGTATGGTCACCCGATGTTAGGTAGACCTGTCGTTACATACTAAGTATGGTCACCCGATGTTAGGTAGACCCGTCGTTACACACTTTGTATGGTCACCCGATGTTAGGTAGACCCGTCGTTACATACTAAGTATGGTCACCTGATGTTAGGTAGACCCGTCGTTACACACTTTGTATGGTCACCCGATGTTAGGTAGACCCGTCGTTACATACTAAATATGATCACTCGATGTTAGGTAGACCTGTCGTTACACACTTTGTATGGTCACCCGATGTTAGGTAGACCTGTCGGTACACACTTTGTATGGTCACCCGATGTTAGGTAGACCTGTCGTTACACACTTTGTATGGTCACCCGATATTAGGTAGACCCGTCGTTACATACTAAGTATAGTCACCTGATGTTAGATAAACCCGTCGTTAAACACATTGTATGGTCACCCGATGTTAGGTAGACCCGTCGTTACATACGAAGTATTGTCTGTTAGGTAGACCTGTCGTTACACATCACCCGATGTTAGGTAGACCTGTCGTTACACACTTTGTATGGTCACCCGATGTTAGGTAGATCCGTCGTTACACACTTTGTATGGTCACCCGATGTTAGGTAGACCTGTCGTTACACACTTTGTATGGTCACCCGATGTTAGGTAGACCTGTCGTTACACACTTTGTATGGTCACCCGATGTTAGGTAGACCTGTCGTTACACACTTTGTATGGTCACCCGATATTAGGTAGACCCGTCGTTACATACTAAGTATAGTCACCTGATGTTAGATAAACCCGTCGTTAAACACATTGTATGGTCACCCGATGTTAGGTAGACCCGTCGTTACATACGAAGTATTGTCACCCGATGTTAGGTAGACCTGTCGTTACACACTTTGTATGGTCACCCGATGTTAGGTAGACCTGTCGTTACACACTTTGTATGGTCACCCGATGTTAGGTAGACCCGTCGTTACACACTTTGTATGGTCACCCGATGTTAGGTAGACCTGTCGTTACACACTTTGTATGGTCACCCGATGTTAGGTAGGCCTGTCGTTACACACTTTGTATGGTCACCCGATGTTAGGTAGACCTGTCGTTACACACTTTGTATGGTCACCCGATATTAGGTAGACCCGTCGTTACATACTAAGTATAGTCACCTGATGTTAGATAAACCCGTCGTTAAACACATTGTATGGTCACCCGATGTTAGGTAGACCCGTCGTTACATACGAAGTATTGTCACCCGATGTTAGGTAGACCTGTCGTTACACACTTTGTATGGTCACCCGATGTTAGGTAGACCTGTCGTTACACACTTTGTATGGTCACCCGATGTTAGGTAGACCTGTCGGTACACACTTTATATGGTCACCCGATGTTAGGTAGACCCGTCGTTACACACTTTGTATGGTCACCCGATGTTAGGTAGACCTGTCGGTACACACTTTGTATGGTCACCCGATGTTAGGTAGACCCGTCGTTACACACTTTGTATGGTCACCCGATGTTAGGTAGACCTGTCGTTACACAGTTTGAATGGTCACCCGATGTTAGGCAGACCTGTCGTTACACACTAAGTATGGTCACCTGATGTTAGGTAAACCCGTTTTATGAGACAAATGCAGATAATTTTGTACACACTTTTTATTGCCATCCGTTGTCTGTCAAATAGACCTGTCTTATCGGAGAAACACACAGCCAGATTTTTCACACTTTGTATTGTCATCCGTTTGCAGGTAGACCTGTCTTATCGGAGATACATACAGACATATTTCTCACATTTTGTATTGTCATCCTTTGGTAGGTAAACATGGCTCAACAGAAGTAGACGTGAGATACATGTTGCCATTCTTTGATAATTGTTGCCCATGGTTACCGGACCGATTGAAGAAACTTTTGTATTGTGGCGCGGACTTCAAAAAGGTTTATTTACGCTATCATTCAGTAGTAAACACGAGGGATTTAAAGAAACATCATAATGCTTCATCCCATTTCATTAGTAATTACATGAATCAGTTTCTTGGTAACAGAGCACGGAAGTGATAATTGGCTCAACTTTGATAATTAATTTAAATGCATTGTTCTATTTCTTTCGCGTTTTGAAAATATTGAGAAAAATATCGGAGTTGGTTAACGCCTTTTAAGTATATTCCTTAGCAGTACAATTACTTTTCTATCTCAGTAGGCTTTCAGTTTGTCGAATTCCAATGAATGTGAATTTACAGGACAGGCTTCTTAATCAAACTATATAATCTGTTTTTTTATTGTAATGCTATCTTCCAAAAACACCTTTTGACATTTGTGTATTACTTATAGAGACCACAATTGTTGGCGATGATTGACAGTGATACCGGAAATGAAGAGCTAACCAGTAAACTGCGCGAATGCGTTCTTAGTAACGAGGGAGACAATGCTCCTGACACAACACTGATCTAATGATATGAAAGTCATCTATACATCTTAAATCCTCAGATGAAAATAAACACGCATTAATATATCATATAAATGTGTCCACATTGTTGACTTCATTTTTGATGGTCCGAAGACCAGAAGTAGTATTACATGGGGAATAATCTTCGATAAGACCCTTGGGAATTTCATGAAGCAATCAAACGGTTACGTTAACGAAAATGGTATATACACAATTGTAGATATAACTTGATTATCTGAAATTGAAGTTTTCAGTTTTAATAACATTTTGTCATAAGGTGAGGCGTTGAATAAGCTGTATATATATATTGGTAAATATTCTGTTAGAGTTAACTCCATTATATGGATGTACCACAAAAGTTGCTTTAGTGTGCCTGTTATCCCAATCTTTTCATGATTACGTCGACCTACGATTTTTCAGTTACGATTTGACCATTTGACTTACTTTGGTAACATTTAAATACATGCTCTGTATGTTGTATTTCTTTATGTTTGCATGCATATTTGTGAAATAAGTTTTTACTTTACCGCATGACAGTGGAATGCAACAGTTGACAGTGAGTTACAGTGACCCTGCGCAGTCCAACCCAGTCTTGGTTCAAACAATAACAATATGACGAATAAGATAAAGGTAACATCTGTGTCCAAGACCAGGACATTATGATGAGCTACAGTAGATTTCACTCCCAAAAGAAAATCGTTAGATCCTATATGTACCTGACATTTTTTTTTTTTTTTTTTGAAATTTTGATAAAAATATATAATGGTTTTTTGCAGTTAAATAAAAAAAATATTCTTCTACTTTTTCAGGAACCTGGTAAATCTTACTTCATATTTTGTTCTTGTTTGATTTTGAGGTTATATATATGTTGGTATTTTCTGAGAGATTTGAGATGTAACAGTTTTATAAAATAGTCCTGTGCACTTTCTCTACTCTAAATATGCTCAAACCATAAAATCAAAATATAAAGATATTGGCATGAAGTATCTCTTATATTGTGTAGCTACTTGATAATTAACGTGAGACATAGTCTCACGGTAACCTATTAAGATCACCATTGTGCTGCGTCTTTCGTCGTGCCTTCATAAACTTTGAACTTTCACGACTTCTTTCCGATTTCAACGAAATTTTGCAGAAACCTTCCTTGCCTAAGGTGAACAAAAATAATGAATTATTTATTTCGCCCTCATTTTTTATTGAAACTGAGTTTGGGTTATTATCATATTGTTATTATGGTATTTTCTGGATGTTTTTTTATGATAATGTCAGCGATCAGATGTTCACTTGCACATGGTCAGCCATCTTTGTTGATGTACAGTTAATGCTAGTTATTTACCTAACTATATAAGACCATGTCAGTCTAAGAAACGCCAAATGAATTATATGTTACAATTGTACGAAGTAGAGAAACACTTATATATGTACCAATGCGTTAAGTTACTTGAGTCAAACTAGTTTGTTCCATTATATCTAATATCTAGGTAACTTTGTTTTACCTTATCGAACCTTTATATACTCTTAGTCCACTTACATTATAACAAAACATGTGTAGATTTGTCATATTTTATCCTTACCTGTGTATGTATACACTATTACTACATTAAAGTACATCTCAAGATAAACCTGGATTGGATTTTATTTTTCTGAATCACTATAACTCTTTGAACACCATAGCCATATATTCACCTGGTGGTCTCGGTTCATTCATACTATACATTTCACTTATAATGAATCGGAAATAATACATAGTATGATTTTCTAATACTTGTGGTAAACTAATCTGTTTCACTGTGATGAGGTAGTTGATAGATAACTAATAAATATTCATAAATAATGGAAATTGTTTTGTCAATATGATAGACATCCTTAGGAAATATCTGTCATTTTATTCTCCTTGCATAAGAGAGATCGTGCAAGTGAATGGATTCAATTATACTTGGCTAAGCAACTGAAGAGCAGTTTGAAAAGACAGCTTAAAACGGCACAGCGTACAGGTAAGTGTTGACTAACATGTTCGTGCCGCTTTCGTTTTCCTAAAGACCTCAGTCATATTCAGGACAGTGTGCAGTTACCAAGGCACCCAAAAACGCCATTTGACAAATTTTCATTGCATTCAGTGGAACGTTAAAATATCAGGTAAATACCGACGGGGAGATGAGACATGCTGCCCGGACAGAAAATCATATGCCATTGTTTTCTTCATGATAATGTGTCCCTTCTTGCTGTAAGTGAAGCTGTATAGTGGTAAGATCTGACCAGCTAATTGGATGCTAAAACTAATATATTTCAGGTCTGTAGTGAAATTATTCAAATCTAATCATCTAATAATTGCTTTTTGAAGCACGATTAACAATTTCAATGTAACAGATTCCGTTAAATCTAACTAAATTAACATTATGGTACTGTAGATGTTTTGTCTCGTAAAATTTTCACTAACATCTGTAAACATTGCTACCGATGTATTATTTTCTAAAATGCTATTGAATGACCTATAACAGAGGCAAGACAATGTCCATAACAATTAGACTGTGCTGGATAGTATCAGTAAATGACGCAATAACAGGTCCCGAGTGTTAGTTAAATAGGAGCAAGTAGAGAAAAACCTGAGTTTACATTAATACTAATAATAATAATCGTCTTTATTTATTCTTGATTACATATTGAGCGTAGTGCTCATCTTCTATATGGTCAAGACATATCAAAATGTACAATATTTACAACCTTAAGAAACATATGTGTAAACAAATTAACCTTTACTTGGGTTGGAGTGTCGCATAAAACGGCATCAAAGTATACTTTCCATTCATCTTCGGACAAAACGAACCATTCAGACATGACAACAGGATAAGTCAAATGATAGATTAGGTCTGTAACATATGTAGATTATTCAGATTAGTGTACAGAAGTTGTTATGAATGTTCACACTTTGTCGGATAATGGTTTTGTTAGTGTTGTAGGGCAGGTTGATAGTTAGCATTCGATGCTGCACGTTGCCCTTCTTTGTTAATATTGGCACCAATTTTTAGAATAACACTCGGTATAGGACTCGCACATGTAGGAAAGTTTTTGTATATATCGTTTTGTTTTCGTTAGTATTACACGTTCTATGTAAGGATCATTGGTCATTAATTCATTGACATATATAGCAATATGTTACTCGTTTGATAGAGTGTTGATTCCACCATCTATTTTAATTATATATTATAATAGGATAGACTTCTACATGTAATGATAGGGAAAGTATGACAGGTAATGCGTTGTGTCTTTGGATCTTAAATCTTGTTTTATTGTTGTGTTCAACTCAGAGATGAAAGGTGGTTTAAGACAAAACGGCGAACGTGTTCTTTCTTTAAAAAACATAGAACAGCTGAGACCAGGCTAAAATATTAATATGTGAAGTCCGGGTATTGAAGTTAGTTTTTTACTGATGCTCTATATATATGAAATAATGTTTTAGTGTTTTTATTTCTATTGTTTTTAAAATATTTTTGTTTCTAATAATTGTTTCGTTTGTGACATATCATGTGTTGAAACTTCAGAGGATTGCTTTGTTTTGTCAAGTCCCGAGTCTCGAAGGTTTAGCAAATCTTTTCATTTCACTAAGCCTTCACACAAAATTCCGCAGATTCAACATGGCAGACCTAGCGACGATGGACTACGTCGTCTTTATATCAACGCTGCTTGTCTCCCTGGGAATAGGTGTGTACCACGCATGTTGGGGACCGAAACAGAACAACATACAACAGTATGTTCTAGGTAACAGGAAGCTGAATACACTTCCTGTAGCTTTATCACTCACAGTTTCCTTCCAATCTTCGATTCTACTTCTGGGGATTCCTGCTGAAGTATATGTCTATGGAATTCCTTTCATTTGGTATACCACTGGTTTCGTGATGTCTCATCTCTTTATGGCTGTTTTCATGGTGCCATTGATTCATCCATTAAAGATAATCAGCTTTTATGAGGTAAGAAAACATTTATCATTCATAAAAATAGAAAACAAATAAATAACAGATAGCAGCGACCGCTGCTCAAAGGTTAGAACTTGTTAATCAGCGGATCGAGAGAAAAATGAACTTGTTGTCATAGAAAATATTAAAGCATTACTGGCAAAATTGACACTCAAAATATCAATATGGCTTGTCAAACCAATCATACCTCTGTGTAATGTTGAATGATGTTCCTAATTTTGTACAAATAATGCAACTGTCGCTATTCATTGGATATCTCTAACCAGCCTTGAACAATCAGGCCTACAACCTGGATAAAAAACAAAAGATACACATTTAGAATTGTATACACTAGAGCCTGAGAATGAATTAAAAACATAATAGAGTTTTTTTTTTTTTTTTTTTTACATCGAGGATTCGTCGGTGATAATAATGGTATATATTTTGGAACCAAGATGGCAACTGTGGAATCCATATAATAATTCTCTATATCTGTTGATTTCAAAAATGATGTCAAATATATTAGTATATTCTGAACCATGACACTATTCGAATGATGTCATGTAGATTACAGCAACGGTTCATCAGCTCAGAACAACGCCCGTAAAAGTGCATCCATCAAAGCTACTAATAACATGTTAGAATGTCTCGTTGATATTCTAACCTGCCATGTGTGATGTATCTTTTTGTCCGTTATGAAAATCTTATTGATACAACAATCAAACAACTAAAAAACACATAATTCTGTCATATTTTAATACCAATCTGCATATAAAAATGATGACAGGTATGCATATTTTATCAGCTATCTGTCGCGTTTGACCTAGTTAGGTTACCTTTAGGTATTTGTTTCTATCAACATATAATGTATAATGTTTCAATTAAGAAATTGTCAGTTGGGATTTCTTTAAGGTGGGGTTATATTTAGTAAAAAGAAACTCAAAGAAGTTCTTTATTAATTGACATTCGACGGAAAAGATTCAGGAGTGAGAATTTCGAAGTTCAAATCCAGTAAAGACTTTCCGATATGCATAGGTATATGCAACTGGAATATAGCGATTGTAAAATAAATAACGATCTATTCCAAATCCATTGGTGATGTATTGTTAGAAAGAGTCGTGTGATGTGAGGATAATTGATAGATTTGAGCTCATACTAATACAGATTTCGCTTTTTCGATACATCGACAAGTAGAATTGGTCTTATTAAAACATAGCATTGAAAAAATGTTAATGCTAATTCCAGTATTTTCAAAGAAGATTTCAAAGTAGAACAACCAGAGTCCTGGCTACATTCATGGGAATCTTCTATAACGTAGGTATTATATTTACATCACCTCAATAAAGATCATTTGAATATGTCTATGGTTATAATATACAATAATCAATACCATTTTCTGACATTTCATGTACATAACAAAGAAGTAGACACAGCAAGCGAATGGTTACGAAATAAAAGCATGTACGTCATTATTGTATTGTTACAATAATGTGGGGCAAGCTATTTAGATAAGACTGTCTCATTGCCATATTCATTTGTACGATATAGTAAAATGACGGATTGAACATGAAAGTTCTTCTGAACCATACAGTTTTTATCCATAGTTATGTGACCATTTTCACTTTTCATTTGAAGATATTTTACATGGGGATCGCGTTGTTTGGCCCAGGAATTGCAATTGGAACTGGTAAGTTAATACATCAAATTATTGCTTGTAGTATGGTGTTGATGTTCCACAATATAATCGAATTTCCTTATTTCAATTACATTCAGTTAAAGGTAGTATTACGAGACCTCGTTTATCAAAATGACATGAAAAAGTTAGGCTGCAATTATTATCAACTGACGTCATATGACTGTGTTACTGATAACTGATTAATGATATATATGTTTTAGCATTTCATTCGGCTAACTGTGTTTATTCCTCTATCAGTTGAAATTCCATTTGTTTAAAAAAAATATGTAAAATAATTAGAGATAACAAATATCGTGTATAAAAATGTAAATAAATTATGTGCCGATTTGATATGAAAATTGTAGGAACAATGGATGTTAATGGTAATTTTAATAATGATCTTTGAAATTTCTTTTTTTTCCCGCCATTATCAGAGGCATATTGGCTACAGATTCGGTTTAATATCAGTAATTTCTCTTTTAAGTGACAAGCTTCCCTATGTGGGCCTCTGTTTTGGTTGTGGCGTTCTCAGCGATCATATACACAGCAGTGGTACGTATCTATTTATAAACATGTATAGCTTCACGCTATATTTCTTCCAAATATTAAAGAGGTTCGAGAGATATATGAAAAATATGATTAATTTCTAGGAATATTGTTACTACATCGTGTACTTCCCTACCTGAATATGTCATGAATTTGCATACACTATATAATATTAAAGTTTGTAATTTTAAGACTGAAATAATAAAAAAAAAAAAAACGCGATGAATATAGAAGAAATAATATTGGTAAGTTGTAGTGAATCAGTTTTTGTGGTAAATCGCACTGTTTGTAGAAATACCAGATTTCTTGAAAGTGCGTTATAAAGAAGTGAGATTTCAATTATTGTACGAAAGACACACATTATCTTTCTTTTGTTCATATTGTGAAAAGTTGTATTGATTTTAAATTTTTTTAAATTAAGATTATATTCATATGTTGTTATTTTATTAGGGAGGATTGAGAGCCGTGGTTTGGACAGACGTTTTCCAGTTCATCATAATGTTGATTGGCATTGTCAGCGTCATAATAAAGGTACAAATTACTTATACAATAACAAAAATAATAACTTAACTATTCCTATAGATATTAGTGTGAATATGAAGTGTTTGTATCTCTAAAGTCGTAGTTATAAAGGTTTTATTACAAGGTTGCGTTCGGTCAATATATTAAACAAAGTATTCGTTATGATGTGATGCATATATTGGTCGAAACACATCAGGAACTTAATAGAATATTCCGCTACATAAATGAATAAATCAATGCATAAGTTGTTTGTAAATCAATAAACAAACGTCGTAAGGTTATGGTTATATGATATAGTTTCTGAAAATAACGAAGATGAATGTTATCGATTTTTGAACATCACATCTTCTTTATAATTTGCATATTCAGACAACCCTTGACGTTGGCGGAATCAAATCAGTGTTCGAAAATGCCAATGCTGGAATGCGTCTTCAAATGCCCAGGTAATATTGCAAACTATTATTCTGTGTTTTAACAGTCTTCTTTAAAATATACTGGAAGGAAAAAGAAACGCAATTAAGAATTTCCAGGTCAACTACGGGGAATGGAAAAGGGTCTTAAAATGTAATTATGGTGTAACTCGAAGATAGTTGACCACTCTGTCATCTACGAGAATTTCATTCCTGCACGTTATGTAAACCTTTCAAATTTGACGTTGATTCAAGAGTACCCCACTCAAAATGAAGTGCGTTCTAGACCCGTCAATATCGTTTGTGCCCCCGCGAGGTGCACTAGTTGCGCGAACTCTTTTGTGCATTGATCGGAGTATTAACCCGCCTCATTGGTATACGATTCCATTCCTCATCCAGCGCCAACACCAACACCAACTGAGCGACGTTGATTGGAGGATTCGGCCCACGTCTTATCCTTCTGTCCAACTCGTCCCGTAAATGTTCTATTGGGGAGCGGTCAGCGCTGTATGGGGGTCAGTCTAGGGTGGGGACATTTTTTGCTGCGAGATAACCACGGCAAACCCTCGCTACATGCGGCCGGCCGTTGTCCTGCTGAAACGTCAGTTGACGCTGCTGTACTAGAGGAACAATATGCGACGCTAGGACTTGATCCCTATAGCCAACGGCCGTGAGATTTCCCTGAATAACGACCAGTGGAGTCTTGATACTATGCGTAATCCCTCCCCATACCATGACCGATCCTCCTCCAAAGCGGTCATTCTCTATCACACAAGCATCTGCATAGTGCGCGTGGGTACGTCTATAGACACAACGTCGGTAAAGCGAAAACTTGGACTCATCTGAGAACAGGACCCTTCTCCATCGTTGCATTAGGAAGCGTCTTACGGAATGTACGTTCAGTCATTGCATTCGTTTGGCACGTCGCCGCGCATTAAGCTGTGGTCACACATATGGCCGCCGCGGTCTTAGACCGAAGGCACGCAGTCGAGTATGCACTGTCTTTGGATCAATTGGAACATGATGACGCCCAATTGTGTTCCTTGCTGTTTCCGTGGCCGTTAGAAAGAGATTGCGTAGATGCGAAAGTCGCATTGCTCTATCCTGCCGACGGGTTGTCACACGAGGGCGACCGCTTCGGGGACGGCCTGCAACTCTCGGGTGGCAAGTAGTCTTTGGATGAGACGGCAAATGTTCGATGGATGGACTCCAAATTGATTAGCGACTTTTTTGCGGGATACCTTGATAAGAAGTGCAATGGCACGACCCCTGTCAACTTCGGACAGTCGTGGCATTTTACGGTGAACTGTTTATCCTTAAAATGTGGAAAATCAAGACGGATATGTCTGAAGATTCGCACACACAGATTTTGAACCAATCCTTTATACTGGGTTTGAAATATCGTGCTTTTGTCTCTTATTCTTTTGTACAAGCGGCGTGCACAGTTTAGTTATGCATCAGTGATTTTAATACGGTATCATAGGGACCTAACGCAAATGCACATATTTTAAGTTTCAAGGGTGTACGTCAAGGATCTAATTTACAATATTAACTTTCTGCTAATTGTGTTTCTTTTCCCTCTCAGTATATAATGGAAGGATACCTCCACCCTTATTATTTCCATGTTAATGTTTAAATCTGTGTCCGGAAAAATAGTTATCCGCTACCTTCTTCATTGAAAAGTAACCAGAATGCCACTTTTCCTGTTCATTCAAATGGTTGCATGATTCAGAATATAAACATGATATTCTTGTAAGATAATCATACATACAAAGATTACGAGACAGATTGGATAATGCGGCCACCGCACTTAAACATCAATATTTTTACCTTTTTTCGATCACCTTGGAATTTTCTCATTTGTTTTCGAAGCTTTCAAATTTTAGGAAAACAGCTGTATGATGTATGAAGGTTTTCTCATTATGTGCTAAGCAATATTTATCTTACTCACAATTATTCAGAAATTTTATATTTCTTTGTCCGATTTGAAGCCGGATTTCTTTGATGCTTGTTAGTTTGCCTGTTGGTTCGGTATTGTATACTTTGTTCTCATTTGAAAACGTGACATTACCGACATGAATTGTTTAAAGTTTCCTCTACTTTTATTGGATTTGAGTTTGGATCATGATTATATTGACGTAATATTGGTATTTTCGTGGTTTCTTTTACATGTCAGCTTCGATCCCGATCCAACTATTCGTAACACTATGTGGACATTAGTTATTGGATCCAGCCTTACCAGGACGTACACCCTGACCACTCAAACCACCGCCCAGAGGATCTGCTCAGTCCCCACTGAAAGGGATGCCCGGAAGTAAGCACAGCTCAACAGAGATTTCTTTTTTTTAAATATACATATAAATTACAAGTGTCATATCAAAAAGACTTTAAACAAAAGATGTTGAATACGGTATTAATTCATTTGCATCATCACCGAATACAACATTCTGCTGTAGAGGGGTTATACAGTTTACTATCCATAATTTGTATTGAAAAAGTTTATTTTCTGTCTGAAATAACATAAGCAGATACTTGTTTGTATCCCATTCATAAATTTTCAGTTTTCTTTGTTTAACTTTATTTGTTTTGCTCTTTATTTCAGAGTTGCTTTTGTTTCGGCTATAACAACCGTTGTCAATTTCCTCCTCTCCTGTTTCTTAGGAATATTTGTCTACGCATATTTCCATGAAACAAGATGTGATCCACTCGAGTCCAAGGCAATAAAAAATTCAAACCAAGTAATATCCAGTTTTAGTTTACATGAGATACTTGAATACCTACTGTGAAAAGTTGAACAAGGTAATATTCAGTTTTAGTTTGCATGAGGTACTTCAATACCTGCTGTGAACGGTTGAAACAAGTAAGATTCAGTTTTAGTTCACATGAGATACTTGAAAACCTACTGTGAAAACTAATTGTCGTTATTTAATATCATACAAGGAAAGTGTGCATGTCACTGCTCTTACACTCTTACACAAGTAAAGAGTACACGAAATTTCAACTGTTTTCCTATCATTATGTATTTTAAATTTGATTAGATCGTTTAAATCCTCCAATGACTCGTTAATTTACAAATGTTGAAGTTGTAATAAGGGGGTGGATACTGTAAACATCAGCAATATTTCATACACCCCTGTAGTTTCCTACAGTTATTCCAACCCCACCGCATCCAAACAAACGCTTAAGCAACTCAATGTGCATGGCTTTAGAACTAGTTCTCTGTCAACGTTTTCTTGTTCTACCTCTACTTATAGCTGTGGTTATTTTGAGCACATATTAACTGGTGATTTAAACATTATTCAAAATGATGCGCCACGAGAGCGTTTCATGAAGGGTCTCAAATATCGTGAAATCCCGTCCGTTCATTGTAATGTCTAAACTACTAACCACTATTCTAAGTTTTATCAAATCTTGGTTACAGTATTATTGTGATACTGTTTACTCCAGACGTGGGATTAATAGTATGTGGATTTCGCAGAACTCCAAAGAGCTTTTAATCAATCTTCGGTACCCTCTTCTAAAAAGATTTCTTCTATAAGAACATTTGATTTTTCCAACCTGTACATTACCATACCCCTTTCTAAACTGAAGGGAAGTCCTTGTTCTCTTGCTATGAGAACATTCTTCTTCATATAAAATGGACGGCGATGTAAGTTTATTGTGTGAAGTATACTGAAGCGCATTTCGTATAAATTGCGTCCAAATCAAAGAAGCCATATACGAAGGAAAAACCATAAAACTGGTCGAATTTCTGGTTGACAACATCTACGTCGTGTTAGGTGTTAAGATCTTTCAACAGATTATTGATATATCTACGGAGACGCACTGCGCCCCTCTGTTCGTTGACTTTTGTTTTCATACGAGACTGAATTTACTGAAGAGGGTTTATCAAACAGATCATAACCTTTTAAAATATGCATTTCATTGTGTATTGATATTCCGTAACATTATTTCAGCTTCTTCCTTATTTGGTAGTAGTCCTGTTCCGTGATCTGCCTGGAATGGCCGGAGTATTTATAGCAGCTTTGTTTAGTGCATCACTAAGGTAACAGAAATATCTATGTAAATAAAATTTACATATTATTTTTTTGAGAACGTTTAAGTATAGTTTTAAACTACTTATTTATGTATATTTAAAACTTAATGAATCGTTTTAATGTATCATACACACAGGCACGCAAACACGCGCACATACACGCACATAAACACAACTACGCACGCACGCTAAAATTAGCTGTGAGGAAATGAGAAATGCGTTAAATTCCAAATATCAGAAAGTCGATCAGTAGTTATTTTTGCACAGCTATTACTTGAAGAGTACAGATGGCAAAATCCCGATCCCGGTCCGTTTCTTTGTGACATGTATTGATGGTCATAACATATGTTTAAAGTTTCTACTTGTCTTTGAATATTATTCTGCATTTGTGAATTCTTAATTTGTATTGATCAATATTTACATAGAGGAAATGGGTGATAAAACAGAAAACGGTTATTCTTCCGGAATACCAGGTCTTGTTTTTGAAAGTTTTCAATGGTCTTCGTGTAATGTTTTCTTTTGTTATTATTTTGATCTCGTTTCACTTTTGAATTAAGACTGTCGGTATGTTAATATTTTCTTTGTTATTCTTATATAATATCATATATTTCTTTGTCATCACGTTTATGTCGTATCTATTTTCAGTACAATTTCATCATTACTCAGTAGTCTATCGGCTCAAACAATAGAGGATATCGTGAAACCTATAATGAAGGACATTTCCGAGAGCAGAGCTACTGTCATTGCTAAAATATTGGGTATCAGTCGATGAAGTATTTTTTTTTTTTTTTAATTTTGACATTCAAAATATTAAATCAAATATTCTATCTTTTAACTGTGTATTCATAACTTTAAAATTAAAAGTAACATTTAAAGTTGTGCAAAAATAGTTAACCGTTTTGTCGCCAAATTCAGTACAGTTTTAGAGCATACAAATAACTGTATGAATGCAATATATACATATATCATTTTCCTTTTTTTCAGTCTTTGTCTATGGATTTTTAGGGATAGCTATATCCTTTATTATTGCAAACATCAAAGGACCGCTTACACAGGTAGTATGACTCAAAGATGATACTAGATAATGTTTCTTTAGTTTCATACCTAGAAACGTGAATGGGACATAAGTTACTGTTTAGTTTTTTAGGAATCAAAAAGATTTAAACATTTATTTCAATGAGATCATCTGATTTATAATAGAATAGAAATAATAAGAATATGATAAGAGATTTAGTTATTAAATTGATTTTAGTTATAATAGTTATAAGTTTTTTTCAGAATGAAATGTCAGTACATAGGAAATGTATACAGAACATTTTTGAAGTCTGTGCAACAGGAAAGAATCAAAAAATAAATAAATAAAGATAAATGTATTACAAGAATGATGATTCTCAATGCATTTTTATTTCTGATATATCTTCTTGGGAATTCCTTATTCATTCTTAGAAATCAATTAATATAATTATATCTCTCGGATATACAAATTATTGACGCAATGCAATTTATGATGTAGCAACGTCAATAATTGCTACTTTCATATGAATGTTTTGTAATGAATATAATTAAGGATATATTGCTCTAGATTATATATTGTTCTATATGAGAATATATTGTCCTGATATATTGTTCTAAAGTGTCTATAAATTCCTGATCAACTTCAGTCGTTTATCTTTTCTCTTATATTTGTCATTATATTTATGATACACAGGTAGAAAAGAGTTATTCTATTGTTAGTCAAATGTTACATTATCTATATTCTATTTGCTATAGCATGTGCTTACGGACCCGCTTCTGATAGACATGAGCAGTTGCTTAATAAAATCAGATTTTACTTAAAACAACGAGAAAAAATAACAACATGTCAACACATTTAATCCAAATTCAAATTCAACAAAACCATGACAAAACATACAGAAGAAAAAGTTTTTACTATAAGGACAAGGAGAATAAGGCCAGGTGTTCCGGAAGAGTAAGCGTCTTCTGCGTCATAGACGACACAATGTAAATCTAAGGCTAATGTAAAGTAGTTACTTCGTTCCATGATATTTTCAGTAAGTTAAAGAGGTGATAAATCAACTGCGAAGGTACAAAAATGGGTATTACCGCCCCTTCCTCACTTATTTATGTAAGCAGTTAGAATGACAGGGACAATCGCCGTATTTAGAATGTTTAACATATCTTAATGTCTATATGAAGTTAAACATTGTTCACACAGATAACGATGTGCATGCTGTCGAGTTTTGGTGGAGCTGCAGCCGGAATGTTCTTTTTTGCGGCATTCTGTCCATGGGCTAACTCCAAAGTACGTCATACTGTCTTTAATCAGAATGTAATGATAATAACTATTTAGACCGAGTCAGATTAAGGGTAAAACTATTCATTCATCATTAAATGACGCATTTTGCTAAAAGTTATTGCGTTGTTTTGTGCAACAAACGTATTAAAAAGTAAATTAGTTGCTACAAGAGTTTTTGCTTTACGGACCTACAACATCTAATGACATACGATGCTTCCATGAATAATGGGGTCATTAAGGGGGTGCGGGGGTTACAAGGTCAGCATTATATCTAACTATACATGGTAGCATGACATTCAACTCCGCCATTCTTAAAAAAAATACTTTAATTAGGCAATATTAACGTTTCATTACTTTCATATATATAATCAATAAAAAGCCTCAATTACAAATACTTATCTTTTGTAAAAGAGGCGAATTCTTATAATAATCACCATTGTCAGAGTATCCAGTGCATAGTTAAGACTTGTGGAAGAACGCCAAAGGTTGTTTATACAGTAGGAAGTTACATGAACGGGTTTTCATCTAAATCATCTTGCTATTGTATTGAAATATTATACAACACAAAGGTAATGTCTATTTCATTTTAAAAGTATCCGCAACCACTGATATTCACAAAATAGTGATAAAAGTTGAGAACTACAAATCCAGGTACACATTGCTCAAGTGGTTAATGTTAAGTCTCATGATGGATGTATGGATGAACGTTGACCTTATCATACATACTAGTACCTTTTTCAGGGAACAGTTGTTGGTGGAATGACCGGGATGGCTTTAGTACTTTGGATTTCTCTCGGTCAGAGCTTTTCTACGAGTTTAGTGAAGTCACCTACTTTACCGTCAGCCCCAGTCGACATGTGTCGGAATAACATTTCCACGAGTATTGGATTGGCAACTTCACAAGACTTGTACAACGTTACCGATGACACGTCATCGTACCATCCTCCGTCATTAGAACCTTCAGTTAAGTCAGTAAATTATCTGATCATCAGGAGCACATCAGACAGTAGTGAAAAACACGTAGTACAATGATAAATGTACACAATTATGAATCGAAAATATATTGATGCAGTTGCGATTTCCTTTATAATATCTAAAATTTGAAATAAATTCCAACTTAAATATACATGTATATACAATGTCAATACTTAAGGAAAGAAAATTATTTCATTGTTTGCAGTCAGGGATTAGACATACTTTACTCCATTTCGTATATCTGGCTGACTCCTCTAAGTATACTGACCACCATCCTCGTAGGAACTATAACTTCGTTTCTAACAGGTAAACATTTAAAACTATCAGAGTCAAAATATAAAGATCATTTTTATCTCGAATTACGATTTATCAATGGTTAAGACAGTATAGATTATAAAAATGAAGAATGATTAATTTCGTTGAATACGTGCTTACCCTTAATACTCAATTAATATGTTGACAGAATGATATTATCTCGTACACCCTAGCTTCGCGCTAGTCATTTGTCCGGTGAAGGTTACATTGCCGTCATCGAAACGTCACACATAAATCTGATCAGGTTAAATCATAAGAGTATATGCTATATTATCATCACCAATCTGATGAAAATGTCCCGACATATAAAAAATGACTATGGTACAAGAAATCTGTATTCATATTGAGTAGGAGCAGTCGTATGGTATCGCTTAGCTCGTGCAGGAAGACAATGAACTCATGGTTGTGTGATGCTATGGTCCAAAGATGCTGAGATGATACTTTAAACACACATTGTATTGTAACCCATTGATAGATAGACCGGTTTCATCAGAGGTAGATAAGACTTAATGGTTTGTTGGATTTTAAATAGTTACACTTTTGTATGTAGAATAGTGTCACCAAAGGGAGATAATACACGATGATTCGTTAAATGTTATATATCTACACCTTTGTAGGTAGACCGGTCACATCAAAGGTAGACGTGAGATATATGTTACCATTCTTTGATCTTTGTTGTCCATGGTTACCTGTCAGAATGAAGAAAAAGTTTTACTGTGGAGCAAAATTCGAAAAGGTAAGTTAATATTATTTGTATAATATTATGACACACTAGGTGAGGACCATATGGAAGATTAGCTGTTGGCTAAATATGTAATCCTCAGAAAATAAAGTGTATTATCATTATTATTATTATTATTATGGTGATCATCATTACATAATAGCTGTTGTTCTATCTTTGACTCTTTTCGTCTCATACAAACACTCATTGAAAGAACATTTAATGACTTTGATAAAAACCAAATGTTACTGGTTAGAGACATGTTTTATTAAAACCAATCATTGTTATTATACACCAGTATTGTAACAAAGTAAGTTGCATAAAATCATTCCTTATTTTCCATTGAAGGAACAACCTTATTTACTTTGATAAATATTTCTGCAAAAGGAATACGTTAGACAAAACGTGCTTTGAAGAAAGTGGTTATCAAATAACAAAATGAACCATCATTTCATCGTTAACAGTTCGGTATCATATCCAGAATATACATTCCTAACTTATATTGTACAATGTATATTATTTTCGAAACATTACAGGAAGTACGCGCGGGCTTGTATGTCTAGCGTAAATGATCTCAACCATCCATCTTTCCATAGCTAATACATGGCGGTTGTGATAGTCCAATATAAATATGTATGTACTTACAGCAATGTTTATAAAACAATCTTCAATATTCATTCGACATTTTTGTGTTACTTCTAGAGACAACATATGTTGGCGAAGTTTGACATTGGTACAGCGGATGAAGAGCTTAACAAGATGGAGGAAAGCGGTCCTGAAAACGAAGAAAACGATGTTTACACTACTGATACATAACACAGTAAAAATATTTGGACAGTTTAACATGCGAGCATAATAGGTGAAAATTAAAAAGCGATCAGAAACAAAGGTACGGAATTTATAAACAACCAAGCAGGATCTATTGTCAACCTATTTTGGAAAGATTTTTAAACAGATTTATAAAAGTTTTCGAATGACGTTAATGGAGAGGATGATATTTATCAGTGTCTGTTTATACCAATAACATGAATATAGGAAAGCAGACAATGCACTTTAAACAGAGGACTGAAGGGAGCATATTGTTTGTAAATGTATAAACTCACGGGAAAATTTATGTCATAAACATAACTTTAGTCCCTAAGTAGTAATGTTCTAGGGTTTACCTAATGTTGTTATTTCCATGCGGAACTGAATACAAAAAAGCTAACTTATCCTAATACCCAAAGTACATTCATTACAAAAGATTTTCAATATATATACACTTGGCCATAAGTTAGGAACCACCTATATATTACGTTTGGTTTTATTTCCTTTGCTATGTTTTAGAACATAATTCAATGACAACCCAAAAGGTTGTATAGGAATGTTTTAAGGCATCTAACGAAAAGATATATACACACTCGATAAGAAATTCAATTTACATGACCAAAAAAGCTAGACGTGCTCAAAAAGGCATTCCTAATGTCTAGAAAAAATATCTTTCTCTTATTAAAAACTACGTCATCAAATCACCAAAACATGTAACTTGAGCAAGAAGAGTAACGAATCGATAAGTTATAATGGGCTTGGAAATTTCAACATCGGCTACAGTCAATATGTTTCTGGTACGGTTCATGTACCCGTCGTCTTATACCGCTGACCAGACGCCGGAACTTGTTCTGAGGAAACCCTCTACCATGCTTGAACCAATGCAGCCCATAATTCTCCTATTGCTTGGTATTTTGGATCATGTGTATTGCCTTTTTGTCAGAGATCGCCCCATACATGTCGAATTGGGTTCATGAGTGGTGATATTGCAGGTCATGGGGATGTCTCTGTCACGTGTTGTTGGAGATGCTCTTGCGCTAAGCAGTTTTTGAAAGCGTCTCTATCACGTGGTGTTGGAGCTGGTCTTGCACTAGGAAGGTTTTGAAAGCGTCTCTATCACGTGGTGTTGGAGATGGTCTTGCACTAGGCAGGTTTTGAAAGCGTCTCTATCACGTCGTGTTGGAGATTAATAATTTATATTATGTCTATACACTTTCAATTTAATTCCCGAAATTATAAAAAGATAATAATAATTAGATGAATTGAGAACTGAACAAATAAACAATGTTTAAAACCAAGCCAACGTCCATATTTTTAAAAATCTTTTTAATGAAAAAACACGAAATCACGACGGATCACTAGCAGTACTAAACATAATCAACAGCCGTAGACATATCATAGTGCTAACAGAAGAGCAATATTGATCGATTATAAGTATATGTAATTTTATTGTATTTTAATTATATTTCTTCACATCAGCATTTTATTTTCATATTAATCATTTCCTAGTATGACTGTAACTGCTGTGATAGTAAAAATCGAATGTTGTTGATATTTATAATTGAAAATCCAGATGTTACATTAAGTGTCTCATAAGTCTTTCTTAACTGGATATTGTGTATACTATGCTGATGGGTGAACTTCTATTGTTATAAAATGTGTGAAACTATTATAAAATATAGCTTTTGTTATCATATTCGATATCTTATTAATGGTTCGATAGCCATGCCGTCGTTTTATGAATCAAACGGCAACAGAAAGATCAAAACACTGATAATATCTTTCTAAAAATAGGAGAAGGTGACAGACGTCCAAATGGGTTTTTATCTATGAATATTTTACTTACCCGATATTTTACTTTTTTTGTGAACGGGACGTACGATTCCATATACTCAATTCAAGGGCGATAACTGTTATTCTACCTCCCGGTGGCAAAAGACTTGCAACTCATGCCACACGAGCTATTGTTATAACACAGCATTATACTATGACACGAAATATCACAAGGTTAGCTCCGTACTGAATTGACTCATTTCCTTAACGGTGGACTTAATAACACATGATTGGACGTTGATTATTGTACACAAACATAGAATCAAACAATGGCAACATGTACAAAATCGGAGTACTAGAAATATAGCTGAAGCAATAATTACCAGTATTTGATTTTAGGAGGTTTTTTAAAATCCAATGTTGGACTCTACCTTGGAACCTTTTGTGGTGTACAATACTTATGTTTGTTTGCTTGTTTTTGTTTTTCGTTTTTGCATCTTACCTCTCTATAGCTCTGTTAAACGAAGACTCGTTTCCTAAATCCCGGATGCTAATGAAAACTTCTATAAACTCGCCGATATGAGATATTAGCGTTCCTTGTCATATTGTTGTCGATAGCTGTTCATTTGGAATGTAGGAAGGGAGACAACTCGGACACAATTAAAACATGCTTAAGAGTGGTCCCTGTTATTATGTTGTCGATAGCTGTCCATTGGGATGTAGGAAGGGAGACAACTCGGACACAATTCAAACATGCTTAAAATTGGTTTTCAGGTGTGCGGAAATAATGATGTATGTTTAATTATATCTTTTTTAAGTGTCCAATTTCTAGGTATTTGCTTAACAACCAGGGTATAAAAACTACACCTTCTGTCCCATCTAAGACATAAGGAATATGTCCGCTGTCCTAGTTAAAGCATATGAACTGCACCTGTCATCCAATTTACGGCATTTAAAAGGAATTATCTGCTCTCCCATTTTGCACAACATAAAGAACCCCTGAACCTAGAACCTTGGTTGTGTTTCAATGAGAGTCCGCCCAGAGGAGGAAGGTGTAATTAATTCTGTCCTAGAGTCTTTTTATACATACACCATTAAGTAAAATATCGTGTTTACTGTCTGTCATCTCATGTAATGTTAAATTACTCAACAGTGTTAGTTTCTTTATTGAAATAAAATCTTAATTACTGTAAGGCCATCATGTAATCTATTATTTTTACTGTCATATATATAAGACTCTGATTTAATATTAATAGTTGAAGGTGGTTATTTATTTGTTTGTGATTTTGAGCATGGACATTTATGCTATCACGGATTCAAATTCGAAATAAGTCCGACATGTTATATACCGTATTATTACGGAGTAGAAGATGTGTAACCTCTATATCATATATCATATGTGTCATATAACCATGGCTACACGGGTCTCTGAGTCCAAGTCTGACCAAATCACTCATCAATGAATCACCCTATTCTATCTGTGCACTCACGTGCCTTCGACTCACCTAGAGCAAAGGGGACGTAACCCATGGTATCCCGTAGAAATAAATGTAGTTGCAAATGAATACGAAAGCTTCAAAATCTCACTACATTTCAGTTTTCCGTGACAATATTACTACGTAATTTGTTATTTTAAGCATAAATATATCTCAATATGCTGATTTCATTACCTGCATTGAATTTTAAGTGAAACTATGTACCATGTATGCAAATGAGTGTGTACCCACACAGACGATTTATGGAACCTGTATAACAAATATACTATGACGGGAGTATCATTGAGGCCTTCAAATATCATTATGTCCTTAAAATAGGAACAAAAAAGACACAGTAGAAGCGCGTGTGAGGATTGTCCACTTCCGCACGCTGAAGATTTCTCTGGGACTGTTCGTAACACGAGTAGGCGTGGTAATACCGGTATACCGACAGAATCAATCATTTTTTAGATATTAAACGGACAAAATAACACAAACCAAATATAAATAGACCCTTAACTGATAGAGTAAGGTTAAGTTAATATTCAATTGATCACAGCCAAAGACGGTTTCAACCCAATGATGGGGATACAGGTCGCCCCCTCACGTCACAAAAACACTGACGTTCGTCGGTGATACGATACCCGAACACGGGAGGAGTCAAGGAGACAAAAAACCTGTTAACCAGCCAACACAGTAGAGCCAAACAATGAATTGAACTGCACCTTACAGCAGCTTTGCCTTTATTCCTCTCATCAATGATATTAAAGGGCTACAAATTTTAACCCAAGAGGTGACTAAGGCAAATCCATAGTAATCGAAAAACACTAGACGATTGTCCTTTGTGTTAAACTTCCAGTGTAAATTCTATTAGAAAAATAAAATAAAATAGAATAAAATAAAAATAAGTTTAAGAGACAAACCGGGTTCAATTTTCATTTTTGATCCCTGCTCTCAGTTGAAAATTTCATGAATCGAATAGTCCTGTTGGGATTTAAGCTTTATTGAAGGGAGATCACATGGCATTTTCGAAAGAAAACATTTAAATATGAAACAATTAAATATTTGGCTGTTTGAGATGGGAATGAAGTATGAATATTAATCTAATCATTCTTACATCGTCTCCAATTACAAAAACCTCTCTCTCTCTCTCTCTCTCTCTCTCTCTCTCTCTCTCTCTCTCTCACACACACTCACACACACACACACACACACACACACACACACACACACACACACAAACAAAAATATTTGTTATGTTAATTTGTTTTCTATGACTGATTGTAATTTGTGACTAGCAACTGAAGTCTGTGTGACCACTACTGTGGGATTGTTCATCACACTTGTCTTGTTTTTTGGATAGAAGCGTTATTCGATCACTGTGACGATGCCAATTAAAATCCTTGGAGGTTTGGTTGTTGAATTGTATAGGTATGAACTCGGATGTTTCGCTTACAAACTCTAATATCGTCAGATCTGTACAATTTTTCTAGTATGATATATGGAAATGAATTGTGGAAGAGTTGGAGCATGTCGGCGTTGTAGTGACTGCTCACAACTTCTCTAACGGCATCGATATATGGAGCGAGGTAGAGATAACAAAACTATTATTCTGGAATAAATTAAGAAACGGAAGTTTTTAGGTTTATACGGAAATTAATATTTATTATACGACTGTGTCAGTATATGTATGGCGAATTCTCCAAAGTACAAACTGGTTTTACTTCAGATATTTTCTATATAACGAAAAGGCTTGATACA